GTGTTGACTGCAAATTTTGAGATATTGCATTCAATTGCTTCATCCAAATCATTAATGTATATTGTGAACAGTTGGGGTCCCAGCACTGAACTCTGCAGTACCCCACTCGTCACTGCCTGCCACTCTGAAAAGCACCTGTTATTTCCAACTCTCTGTTTTCCATCTGCCAGCCAGTTCTCTATACACGTCAATACGTTACCACTGATACCATGAGCATTTATTTTTCTTGCTATTCTCTTGTGTGAGACCTTGTCAAAAGTTTTTTGAAAGCCCAGATATACAACATCCACTGCTTCAACTTTGTCTTCTGTCCTGGTCACATCCTCAAGAAAATTCCAGAAGATTTGTCAAGCATGATTTCCCTTGAGTAATCCATGCTAACTTGAATCGATCTTGCCGCCACTTTCCAAATACTCAGTTAATACATCCTTAATAATTGACTCCAGCATCTTCCCCACCACAAATGTCAGGCTGGCCTATAATTCCCCATTTTCTCTCCCTTTTTTAAAAAGTGATATTACATTAGCTACCCCCCAGTCTATTAAAACTCTTCCAAAGTCTCTAAATGATCACCAATGCAACCACTAATTCTAGGGCCACTTCCTTAAGTAGTCTGGGATACAGAGCATCAGGTTCTGGGGACGTATCTGGTTTTAATCCCGTCAATTTCCCCAATACCATTTTCTGACTACTAAGAATTTCCTCAGTTACTCCTTCACATTTGATTCTTTTTTCCCCTAGCATTTCCAGAAGGTTATTTGTGTCCTCCTCAGTGAAGACAATTCCAAAGTATTTGTTAAACTGGTCTGCCATCTCTTTATCCATTATGAATTCACCTGATTCTAACATTTGTCTTCACCAGTGTTTTTCTCTTCATGTATCTGTAGAAGCATTTGCAGTCAGTTTTTATATTTTCTGCAAACTTACTCTTGTATTTTATTTTCCCTTCCAAATTAAACCCTTTGTCGTCCTCTACTGAATTTTAAATTTCTCCCAGTCCTCAGGTTTACTGCTTTTTCTGATCAATTTATATGCCCAGTCTTTGGCTTTCACACTATTCCTGATTCCCCTTGTTCGCCATGTTTGAGTCACCTTCCCTGTTTTACACCAGACAGAGATGTGCACTTGTTGAAGTTCATCTATGTATTCTTTAACTGTCTGTCATTGCCTATCCACCATCCACCCCTTAGGTATCATTGGCCAGTTTATCCTAGCCAAAACATGTCTCATATCATCAAAGCTAGCTTTCTTTAAGTTCAGGACCCCAGTCTCAGATTTAACTGTGTCACTCTCCATCTTAATGAAGAATTTTACCATATTATGGTCACTCTTCCCCAAAGGGTCTCGCACCACAAGGTTGCTAATTAATTCTCTATCATTACACAATACCCAGTCTGGGGTGGCCTGCTCTCTAGTTGGTTCCTTGACATACTGGTTGAGGAAACCATCCCTCATACATTCCCGGAAATCCTCCTGTATCACATTACTATCAGTTTGGTTAGTTCATTCAATATGCAGATTGAAGTCGCCCATAATAACTGCTGTACCATTATTGCACGCGTCTCTAACTTCCTGTTTGATGCCACCCCAACCTCACAACTACTGATTGGTGGTATGTATGCAACTCCCACTAACGTTTTCTCCTTTTGGTGTTCCGCAGCTCCACTCATACGGATTCCATATCGTCCAGGCTAATGTCCTTTCTTACTCCTGTGTTAATCTCCACCTCAACTAGCAACACTACCCCACCTGCAAATGTCCCTACAGGTCCAAAGTGCAGTCTGCCAAGCTTACATTGACACTTTCCTGTATTTACGGCTTCACACATTTTGGTTTTATGCAAGGTGCTTTTAAATTTCAAATTTCCACCACACATCCCACATTCTCACACCACTGAAAGGTGGTGTGTAACTTGCCATCATGTCCCAGTTTCTCCAATAAAGTGGCGCAGCTTCTTCAAATTTGGTTATTGGTATTACCTTTATTCAGGGTAATGTGCTGAATCACATTAAGCTTGCAATTTTTTTTGCAAAGGTGCAACTCTAAATAAATCCAACATGATTTTTATGTAAGAATTTTAATTTGGTATAAATTGACAGGCACAACCCTAGTTTAGTTTGTGCAGCACATTTTTTTTTGTTTGGGCTTTCTGTAATTCAAATGATTTCCTGTGTTCACTCAGGGATACCAGACATATTTCCTACAATGCAGCTGCAATGAAATTGCTTTATATTCATTTGACATGCTCACATTAGTTGATGAACAAGCACAATATTCTGCCAAATCTGCAAGGAAGAGAAAATAGAACTAATTCATAGATTAAGCACTACAAATCATTACACTGCACAACTGTGTAGGAACAGGTTTTACAAAATTTTAATTGCTCCAGCCAGAGAGCAAGACTCTGGTGAGTAAACTGGCAAGGTGAGTGGGTTGAGTTTGCCAGTACTGTAAATATTCCTACAGGTCCAGAGTGCAGTCTGCCAAGCTCACATTGACACTTCCCTGTATTCACTGCAGTATGCATTTTGGGTTTATGCAAGGTACTTCTAAACTAGTTATAAGATTTTTTTGACTGCACTACTTCTGTGGCAGTATCTTCATTGAAAGGTTAGGCTTCCCTTTCTCATAGTTGCTTAAAACTGCATAAACATTTCAACTTAGAGCTGAAATATTTGTCACACAGAAGCCAAAGTTCTTGATGTATATATGCTTGGCGTGTCAAGCAGTCTTCTTGAACACATTACTTACTTCCTCTTTGTCATTGCATCACAGTTCCAGTCTGCAGGGGCATCATTGCTAGCTTGCCTCAGTTCACTGTTGCACTTTTATATATATGTGTATATATATGCCAAACTAAAATACCTCCACTCTCTGCCATCTATGCAGCAAGCTAATCCATTGTACCATTTCTAGGCCAAGTTGTTGCCCATCCTTTAAACATTATAAATGTTTAGCTTTTAAAACGAAGATTTTTTTCTGCCTGGTAATAAAATGGCATGATACGAAAATTCACCTAACCTGCGCACCTTTGGACTGTGGGAGAATACTGGGCCACTGGCACAAATCCATGCAGACACTGGGAGAGCGTGCAAATTCCACACAGACAAATACCCAGGCTGTAATTAACTGGGGTTCCTGATGCTGCGAGGCAGCAGTGCTAACCACTGAGCCACCATGCCGCCACTTTAGTAATCACATTATGCATCCTATGATGACTGCCTGACAGATAAATAGTGAATTATTCCACATTGTACCTTCTTGTCCTTCATTCAGGACAATGGCTTGGTATGACTTAGGAACTTGGCCACTGCCACTGATGCTTTCCATTATTCAGTGACAAACCAGCACAGTGACAAAAAATAGGAGGTATGGAAAATTGCTGTCATTCAGGATCACACACTAAGGTGCTGGATATGATTCCATAAATAATAATAACAAAAGGGAACTGGTCAGTACTAAGTTTAAGGAGCTTAGAGAGGTACGAGCAAAATAAAATGGACATGTTGGACTAAGCTCAGCTGCTTCTGTCTACAGACCAGACTATTGGTCGTCTCCTGTCTCATAAGTTCCAATGACTTTATAATACTGCAAAGTGAGCTAGGTGTTGGCGTAGCTGTCTTACCTCTTGAGTGAGAAGGTTGTAGGTTAGATTGCATTGGGATTTAAAGACACCTTTAGTCTAACACATTGGTAAGAAAGCTGCGATATTGTCAAGAGGTCACATCTTTCCAAATAAACATCAAACTGCCTGCTCAGAGAGTTATTAAAATGTCACATGTCTTATTCAAAGAAGTGAGTATGTATTCCTTCAGAAAAAAAATCCAGCAACAAATTATCTTATCATTTGTTCATTTGCTCTTTTGAAATCCTGTTGGGTCATAATTGGTGATTGTTTATACACTGATTGCATACTAAAATAAACCATTGGCAGTAAAGTGTTTTGGGAAATCCTGGACAATTCTATAAATGCAAATGATTTCCACATTCTCTCTTGTTGTGTGGCCCACACAATCCATACAACAGACACCATCTTACTCAAAGATCCTTAACTGAATTTTGGTAGGGAGTACTGAGCTGAAGAAGAAAATAAAAGAAGGGAAGAAAAAGACATAATCAACTGTTAATCAATTCTTAGAATCTATAGTAATGCCTTAGTCCAGAAATTAAAATGGACAGTTCAGAGAAATGTCCTGCCAACTATGGTTTTAGGAATCAAATGGATGTCCAAGTATAATAGGAATTAAGTCATTCAGCAAATTTATATGTACCTCAATGAAATGTTTTCAACGTGATACTTTTTAAAAAGTGAGTCCAGCTTTGCTGCTGTATACCATGACACAACAGCCGTTGGTCATAAATATAATTGTCTTAAGCTACTAGATCAGGGTTACATTCAAAATTTAAACGTTTGGTTACTGGACACTGAAGTATAAATAATGGCTCAATTAATTCATATCACTTCTATATGAGAAGCTGATTCAAATTTAAAAAACGTTTCAGTGAAAACGTCTTCATGTAGTTGCAGATAGTGATGTTAGTCTAGTCATATATGCAGGCTGGAGCAAAAGAAATTGTGATTATCCTTTTAACATCTTAAAAATAAACTATTTAAAACAAAATTTCTAAGCTCTCGATTATAGATACAATTGATTTTTCCCTGATTAAGTTACATAGGGATGCTGCATGTTTACAGTGAGTGTAGAATGCAAAAATGGATTTGAAAAACAGGCACAAATTTACAGTTGGTGTGAATTGTATATTATGTATTTGAATTTTGAAAATCCCCGAATAGATTTGAATAGGAGTTTCAAGTGATTAGGAAAGTGCAGGGAACAATCAAACTACCTTGATGGCTTTTTTAAAGTTACTTTTTACTGGAGGTATTTTAAAGTTTTGTGTTGGTATATTTGAAGTGACAACTTTGTGTGTTTGCCCCAATAAAATTTATAAATACGTTTTAGGATTAATTTTAGTTCCCCAAATTGTTATGTACATAGCTTCAATGGGTCTCGGAGCAGACATGATGACACAGGCCGATTCCAAACTTCAAGTACCTCAGAAAATGGATATTAAAGAAGAAGGACCCCCTCCAACTGAGACCAAGTCTAAGGTATTTCTCCAGCAATGATGGTGTTGGTTTGGCTGAACAAGTCTGCTCTGTTACATCATTTGGTTTTCAGTCTCTAATCTCTCCCTTCTGCATGCTTTTGCGTGTCCTATTCCTGTTCTTTCAAGTGGATCTGAAAGTCATTGGTTCTAAAGGCACTTAAAAACACTGGTAAATTTGGCTTTAAGGTGTTAAGAGAGTTGTTTGCCTGTTTTTATGAACTGCAGCCATTTTCTCTGCCTCTTTTGTCATGGCTTCCTTGCAACAGCAAAGGCATTTGGTATTTTGCTTTTCTGGCTTTTTTGTAAAACTAACTAAGTGATTTCCTTCATGGGGAAACTTGTGCTAAGCATCTCAAATAAGCTTAAAGTTAAGCATGGTGGCTCCAGCAATCTTCCAAATTTATACCAATTATAAATGTTATGTGATTGTTTATACCTGTAAGTTAAAATTGATTTAACATTTTTTTCTTCTTTTGAATGAACCTTGCCCTGCCCTCCTTCTATTTTTGTCCCGCTACCACAGGATAGCTACAACTCTCAGGGTATTTCTCAGCCCCTTACCTCAGGCAACCTGCCAACCCTTTCCCCCATGTCCCCAAGCTCTACTAGCATCTCCTCAATGCATGGAGATGAAAGTGATAGCATTAGCAGCCCAGGCTGGCCAAAGACTCCGTCAAGCCCTGTAAGTGGCGCTGTTTTATTAACCTCTATGCTATGTAATGTTTGTGTGCTTATTGAAAATCATTTAAAACAAAGACTGTGTTTGAAATCCCCTTATAATCTTCCAAATATGGTAACAGCTGAATAGCAGTTAGCTTTCATGATGAATGTTGCTGGACACAATTCTTTCCGAAGAGAGAATGGCAACCAGTCATGATATTGATCATAGACCGCCATATCTTTACAAATGTTGTCAAGGTTTACAGACTGGAAGGTAATGTTTTAGAGTAATTGAATAATGTGGTTTGAGTACATTACATATGTATAAAACTGTAAATGTTGAGACAATATAGAATATTCTACTTTATTAAACATTCGGTGTAATTATTTATTGTAACAATAAAAACAAGTAAAAGTGTTTTTTTTTCCATTTTATCATGATACCTTATTGTGCTAGGGGACTGCAAATGTTTGTCTAAAAATTGCCTTTACATTTTTTCCCCATTGTGTACTGTTACTGTTCATAAATTATACATTTTTGATTTGAATCCATTTCATAATTTATTTATCATAATTATTCATAGATGTAACAAATGAAAGTGAATAAAAGTGGTGATTTTCTTCCATTTTATGTTCATGCCTTATTGTACTGAGGAATTGTAGACCTTTGCGTAAAAATTGGCTCTACAAATTTTGCCTGTGGTCTACGAAAGCAGATTTAACTTCAAAACTGCTGAGATCCAGCTCCAGCAATGTGTTCTCAATCTAACAATCATTGTACAATTAGTGAACCTGAGATGCCCTTCCTATCTTGTTTTAGTTACATTATGTAGGGACAGGAGTGCATCATTCTGTCCCTCAAGCCTGTTCACCAATCAGTTAGAACAGATTGATCTCTACATAACCATGTCTACCACCTTAATTCCATAACCTTACATAGCTTGCCTACTTTAAACAATCTCAGTTTGAAATTTTCAATTGATTTAACCTCAACAGGAGCAGAGAACTCCAGATTTCATTAACCTTTGTGTGAAGAATTATTTTCTGTCATCATACCTTGATGTCTTTGCGGTAATGATCAGATTATGTTTGCTTGAATCTGGACTCACCAACTAGAGGACATAGTTTCTCCCTTTGATTTTCCTAAACACAAGATCAAATGTTAATGAAGAATGAGAAGCAACCAAATGGAAGCATATCAGATTCTTAGGAGAGTTGACAGGGTAGATGCAGAGAGGTTATTTCCACTTGGAGGGGAGTCCAGGTCCAGAGGTCGTAATCTCAGAATAGGGGTTGAACATTTAAGACAAAGATGGGGGGAATTTCTGTTCTCAGAGGATAGTGAATTTGTTGAATTCTTTACCACTGAGGTCATTAAGTATATTCAAGGCTGAAATAGACAGATTTTTAATGAGTTTTGGAATTGAGGGTTACGAGGAAAAGACAGGAAAGTGGAGTTGAGGGTTATCAGATCAGCCAAGATCTCATTGAGTGGTGGAGCAGATTCAGTGGGCTGAATGGCCTACTTTGCTTCCTGTATCTTGTGGTTATGATCTTGTGGCCTGATTGTTTATACTGTGGACAAATATAAATTTGGTATATGCAGTCTTGCTTCATCCTTTAACATTTACTGCTCCGTATCATTCTGATGAATCTTCACTGCACAACCACTGAGGCCAGCATGGAAACCAATAATGAATGCAGTACTGTCGGTGGAGTATAACTAGAAACATATACAACTATAAGTTAATTTCTATCCCTTTGTATTTCAGCCCTATTGAAATAAAAGGCCAACATTCAGTTAGTCTTTTCAATTATTTTTGTACCATCTGCTAGGATGTTGATTTTTGTACTTGGACCCCTAGAACTTTCTGTTTGTCCTCTGTTACCACTTCCTCAGAATCTTCTGATTTACCTATCTACAGCCCAAAGCAAATGGCCTTACACTTCCCTACACTAAAGTCCGTGTGCCACAGTTTTGTCGGATCATATAAGTATTAGTGTCTCATTGTAGATAGGATCGTATTTTTTTTTTGTAATGTGTAGTTGAGTTTTGTCATCAAAATTAAATGTGCTGCTGTTTATTCCTTCATCAAAGTCATTTATGAAGATTCTGAAATGCTAAGGGCCTGAGTTCTCTTGGTATACCACTAATGAAATTCTACCAATTTGAACACATATCTATAATCTGTACGCCCTCTGCTATCTCCTAACAAACTTCCATTACCGACCAATAGGTTATATCCATTCCATTCTGAAATTTTAAGTATGTTTAGTGAAACCTTTTTGATTACCTTTCTGGGTGTCCATAATGTATGTTAAACTAATTTTGGAACTCCAATGCCTTACTGAGTATAAATACTTCCAAATCTAACACTAAACCATATAGAACAGATGATCATTGGTTTGATTTCTCACTGTGATAGTTGATCTCAGCCATGGCAACATTTTGGGCATCACAATTGAACATAGACCATTGAACCAGAGGAATACAATATCGACCAGGCTTCTGTAGCACGGGAGTTAATGACACCCACTGGAAAAAGCACATCAGGGATAACTTGAGTTTTACTCAGCTACAATACTTTACATGCTAGCATGAGCGGCTGATCTACTCCAAGTAGTCAATAAGGTATCACCATCTGAATTGAATTCCTGCAGAAATTGGTGCCTCCCGGAGAGGAGGGGTATCAATTTTGTTCAGGTACGAATCCTACATTAGTAAATTTTGAAGTGTGATGAAATTATTCGGGATAAATTGAGTCAGTGGTTTGTTTGGGGGAAAATGCTTTATGCCATTGAGGGATAGAGTTCTTACTGACGTGGTTAACTGATTACTATGATGTGGATTTGTATAAATGTGTGTGTTGAACTTAACAGTTTCATTTAAAATAGCTGTATGTTATTCTCTGTTCAGTATTGGGTGTCATCACAATATTACATAATCAGTTTAAAGTTCCAAGTTGTTTTTTTCTTAAGTGATTTTAATGGTGCAGCTCTCTACATAACAAAAATTTATCAACAGTAAAAACTTATTGAAGAACCGTTTGGGTTTACATTTCGGATTAATCTCTTGACCAGCTAAAACCGCAAAAGTTGATGTATAGAATACGTAGGCATTTTTGTTTTCTGTCTGTTTTGACTTATTCTGATTGGTTCATTACAAAAGTTAAATACTACAGATGCTGGAAACTTGAAATAAAAACAAAAGATGCTGGAAATACTCAGCAGGTCAGACAATACTTGTGGAGAGAAACAGAGTTAATGTTTCAGATTGAGATGACCTTCCATCATGATCAAAGGTCATCCTGACCTAAAACATTAGCTCTGTTTCTCTCCCCAGATGCTGCTTGATTTGATCCAATAACCTCTGCAGTCTATATGAGAGAGCCCGCAGTCTCCGTTTCTCCTCTTATTCATCATTAATATTGAACCTAAATGATACAGTAAAGATGAAATTTATCTTCAGCAATAGTACAAATGTTTCATATTGAATTGGCAACATTTACACCTTCTGATTTTCTTTTCCATTGTCTTTGCATCTTCCCCTTTACTACTACTGCTGAAGTAATTTTTTCCCCCAAGGTGTGTGCCCAAAGCAAAATCTACTATCTCTCCACAACGAAGCAAAGATGCTGTGCAAAAACAAAAATCCTAATGTGGTTTAATGAGCTCATCCTGTAGCATGATTCATTCTTTATAATTGTTGCCGATTTTCAAGTACTTCATTGTTAAAATAATGCTTTCTTGATACTTGATCCTCAATCAAAATGTCTTACAGAAAATGCTAGCTCAGATCTCATTTTATCTGGGGGGAAAATGTGCAAACTGTTCCAAACAAAAAAAAAATGCATTGTGTTTCATGTTGTTAATTTAGAAATAATTCATGCAGTCATAAGAATAGCCATTGATTAATAAAGGCCATTTAGCCCAACCAAGCTAATGTGTTCATAGAAATAAACCTCAGAAAAAAAGACTCAAATTTTTAAAAAGTGAAGCCCAAAAGGGTTATATCTCAATTTAATCTAGAATGGAGATGTAGTCTGCCTCCAAATTATAGTTTGTCACTGTTATTAGATCAGGTGGCCAAAATGCATGCCACATAAAAATAAATTAGAAATACCTTTACAAAGAACCTTACAACATAGGAACAGGCCTTTTGGCCCATCAAGCCTGCGACAACACATGACACATTACCTTAATCAAAATGGCAAATCAGAGCTTCATCTCAATGACATAAAAAGGCAAATTTCCTGTTGTGTTCTGAAGCTAGGGGTACATATCACCAGGAGTGAAACTAGTTAAGTTTGTAGCTGCACATGATATCCACATTATATCCTTGGATGATGAATGGGTAGATGGGTACGCTCAAAAATACGCTATGTTTGTGTCTGATAAGGATTTTGTTTGGTCTGAGGTCACATATCTGATTTACCACGTTGAAGTTCAGATTGTTATATTGATGAAATGTAAAAGCTTTGAGCATGAGGATGGAAACACTGTAATGGACTGTTTACTAGATGTCTGTCAGAGCTAGTATCCTTGATTCCTTACTGTATGTTTTTCAAGGAATAAGACCAGTTTTCATAATTGGGAAGAAGTCTCTTCATATTTCTTGCTTCTTCTGCCTGCTCATTGCAGAAATCAAACTCTTCCACAACTGGTGAGAAGATAACCAGGTTGTATGAGCTGGGGAGTGAACAGGAACGCAAGATGTGGATAGACCGTTATCTGACCTTCATGGAGGAAAGAGGAACACCAGTGACCACATTACCTGCTGTGGGCAAAAAACCATTGGACCTTTATCGACTTTATGTCTGTGTTAAGGAAGTTGGTGGTTTGGCACAGGTGGGTACAAAATAGTATAGTTGCCTCTTGGTGTTTTAGGATTATTTGCTGGTTAGGTTTTGGCTGTTATTTGAACATTGCTTCTTCTGAAGATTCCTTTTTGAAATTGATGTGAATTAAGCCTATGGAGAAATGCCTGTCCATTAATTTGATCCATAACTAACGAGCAAGGCAATGGTAAAACATTTAGAGATGTCTCAATCTACAGTTTATGAAAAGGGCAAAATATAAACTCAGCATTAAAGGCTTGTGTTGCAAGTATTGCTAAGTTGTTTGCCCACTCCATCAGTGTCTGTTCTTGCACACAGGTTTCACTGCCAACTTGTAATCTCAGTGAAATAAAAAAGGTATTATGCAAATTATAGGCATATTTGGATTTTTTTTGCATCTATGCCAACTAAGAATGAAGTATAGACCAATTACTGCTGTTTTGTAAAATGTGTTCTTGGCTGATTTCTAATTTATAGTTGAATTTTGTATTGAAGTATCTACTGTTTAGGGATGTACATGTATGCATTAATTTGTACATCAGTGTGTTGCTGAGCTGCAGCAATAACCTGGATACAAAACAGCTTTGCCAAGATGAAGTTTTGCTCGAGTTTCAGCACAAACTAATTAGCACAGTCTGAAAGTAAAATCTCCCTGCACAAATGAGAAACATATTCAAACATGTAAATTTGTGATTTAGGATCAGGGCAAATGGGGCCTCAAGTACCTGAGGCAGAGAGGGGGGGTAATGTGGTCATATTAAAAGCAAGGACAAAACATTTCTGTCCAGAGTGAAGGTGAAAACCACAAAACAGTGCATTTAACAATTGAATACTGGCCATGCTATTGTCATTTAACTGACTACTGCAGCAGAGTAGTTCATACTGTGTGACTTTAATTGCCTCCTGGCCACAGGCCTTTCATGTACCAAGGGCAGATCAGTTGACTGAACTTAAGGTATTTGAAGATTATTGTAGCTTTAGGAGCGAGAGACCTGGATCAATTTTCAGTTGACTGCTGGTTACTATAGGTCAGGTGATTACCGCTGGATTAATGTGATCATGGGTACTTAAGCACCAGAGATTCTAAGCACAATGAGATGAACACTCAAACAATTGCAGTTGGCCAAAACTCTGTAACTTCTGGGCATGGCTTGTTTTGTGGGCAATGATTGACTACTTAAGTCACATGTACTTTATAAATGATCGTGAGTATTCCAGTGTAAATTTGTTGTGGGATCAAATCTTAATTTCATAACCTTTGGTGGCAGATTATTTGAATCAGCACAGGAATAAACCAGAAACATGAAGCCAAAATGTATATTTTTAATGGAATAGTTAAAGATCTCCAGGTTTATATAAATAATATAAAACTATAAAGGATCGCCCCTCCCTCCCTCAACTTCGAAGGTAAAATTCGTTTTGACATTTATATGTATCTGTACTCCTTTAGGAGAACACCAAGTCATTTACTTCCTTCTATTCCTTCACCCAAAGTGCAGCATGCCAACTAGTTGGTTTAATCAAGTAGGACTGTGCTCATTCAAGGGAGTCAACGTTTTAGACATCTGGAGTTTGCCATTTCTCCAAGTGGTGTTACTTAACCTTGATTCTCTCTCTTCTACTTCTTTCCCCCACTTACTCTCAGCCCCACCTCAATCCGATGCTTTGGACCTCAAAAATGAGAGAAGCTGGTTAGAAAGCTGCAATACAGAAAATGTATTGATGAATATCGTCATTTGAAATCTATTAAATTAAAAGGGAAGTATGCTGAAAGTATTTGACAATATTCAATCAGAATCTCATTGATTTTAACATAATCTGCCTAGGTTAACAAAAACAAAAAATGGCGTGAATTGGCAACGGCCCTGTGCGTAGGTACATCAAGCAGTGCAGCCAGCTCACTAAAGAAACAATACATTCAGTACCTGTTTGCCTTTGAATGTAAGATTGAACGTGGAGAAGAGCCCCCTCCTGAGATGTTCAGTTCTGCTGAATCCAAAAAGCAGCCGAAAATACAACCACCTTCTCCTGGTGAGTACCACTGGATTGCGAAAAGTTGCTGTATTTTCACTGTGTTGGCTTAAATACATGTTGCTTATACACTGCAGAGGGGAAAACAATTGAGCTGACACCATCTTTAACTCTTTCTTACTTGTTTAATGACAACAACAATATAGGTGTTCATGAAGTGCCTTTAAAACAATGTCCCAAGACGATTGAAAAGGAACACAGTATAGACAATAGGAGGGACTGAAAGGGGAAAAATAGTCAGCGTGGGTTTACTAGTAATCTCAAGCCACGTATTAACAGTTTGAGATGTAAACATGTAATGATATGATTGGATGATATAGCCATGTGTATTAACATGGAATGTGGACTCTGTGAATACAATTTAGAGATAGAAGTGAGCAAATATGTAACCTTTTGGAAATAATTATTTGTAGGAATAGCCAATTGGAAGCTCGTTATCTGTAAAAATAGTATACAATCTTTGTTCTTGCAGTAAAATGTGAACTGTATGCCGTTTTTGGTGATGTACAGCTCCCGTGCATGCATGAATAAATGGAATATGCATGAATAAAGAAACCAGAATCTCCTCTGGTCCAAGAGGAAATAAAGGGTTAAACGCACCTTTTCAGTGCTCCATGAGCACTAGAAAGCAAAACTTGCTTCTGAATCACAGCAGATATTAGATCATATTTCCGAAAGCTTGGGCTAAGAGGCAAGTTTTAAGGAGCATCTTAAAGTAGGAAGACAGGCAGAGGGGTTTAGAAATAATAATCGAGAGTTAGACTGCTGAGGGTAAAGCCATCAATAGTACAAAGATGCCAATCAAAATTGGCGATTTACATGAGGCTGAAATACAGGGTGATAGAAATTAAAGAGCTAGGAAGGGTCACAACCAAATGGAAAGGATTTGAAAAAATGGTAAGAACATTTTAACATCAAAACATTGCTGAATGAGCAATATATGTAATCAGTAGGGGTTAGCTAGCTCTGTTGGTAGGTTTGTAACTTTGTGATGCCAGCAGCATGAGTTAAAATCCTGGACTGGCTGAGATTATTATGAAGAACTTTACTTCTTAACCTCTCCCATTGCCTGAGGTGTGGTGACTCTCAGGTTGAACCATCAGTCGCCTCTCTAATGAGAGAACAGCACTATGGTCCAGCAGGAATATGATAACTTTTGCTATGTAGTCAGTGAGTACAATGGGTGATGAGTGAACGTGACATGGTGCAAGTAAGGACACAGGCAGCAGAATTTTGGATGAATTTGGATAAAACATGGAAGATTAGCCAAAATTGCATGGGAATTGTCAAATCTGGTAGCAACAAAGGTGTGAATAAGGGTTTTAGTAGCAGATGAGCTCAGGCAAGTGTGAAATTGGATGTCGATCTTGAGGTAAAATTAACTTGTGTTAGTGATTGCTTGTATATTAGGTAAGAAGCTCACTTCAGAATCAAATATGGCACTTAGTTTGGGAGCAATTAGGGCTCAGCCTGCCATTGTTACAAGAAAGAGGACAAAATTGGTGGCTAGAAAATGGTGTTTGTAGCAGAGATCATAGACAATCATTTTGGTCTTCCGTTTATTTACTTGATATTTACTCACCTGGTAGTGGACAAGTGGTTTGACAATTTAGAGACATTGGAGGAGTTGATATGCTGTATGTGTCGTCAGTGTGCAAGTGAACATTGGCACTGTGTTTTCAGATGGTGTTGCCAAGGAGTAGAATAAAGAGAAGAAATAGGAGGAGGTCCAGAATAAATCTATGCCGATCACGTGAGGTACTGGTGCCGGAACATACATTAAAGCCATTGCAGGTGATTCTCTGCAACATTTAGATTAAATAAAGAATGGAATTAGGCGAGTGCAGTTCCTATTTGTTGGATGACAATGAAGGAGTGCTAAAGGGGAATGATGTGTTCACTCATGTCAAAGGCTCCAGAGATGTCAAGGAGGACTAGGAGGATTAATTTACCTTTGTCATAGTGACTTAGGATGCAATTTGAGACTTTGGTGTGAGCTGTTTCGTACTATGGTGAGGCAAAAGACTGAACAAGGGTTTCAGACATGGATATCCAGGAAATATGAGCATGGATTTGGGAAGCAACAGCACAACCAAGGTGTTTTTAGTCAAAAGGAAGGTTAGAGATGTATAGTACTACAGATGGTGGGTCAAGGATTGTTTTATTTCAGGAGAGTGGAAATGACGACATGTTAGGTGGACAGCGAATAGTATCTGAAGGAGAAGAATCATAGTTGTACGCACACTTAAATTCTATCTCAGACTTCAGACAAGAACATTTCAATTGGAGTATTTATAAACTATATTTCCTTTGAGACTGACATCTTCAGAGAAGTTGAATTAATCATATTTGAACAAAGATTTAAGGTGTCACACTGTTTAGCCCCTGTGAAAACAAAGTTTAGAGGCCACAATGAAGAACGTCTGCATGCTGAACAAATATACGTGATTGAAGCAGGTTAATGTTTAATGTGTTATGAGTTGCAGGTGCAGTTGGTTAGATTATTTTGGCTCTGTAAAAGGGTTTCCCCTGTGGAGTCGAGGGCGATTGTTAATGTGCTTTGTATCCTTGTTCACAATGGATGCTGACCATGCTTCAGAACATACATGGAATTCATATTCAATCAGATGAACACAACAGAATAGCTGATGTTTTCATGAATTTTATAATTGCTGCTCATTTGAAGCCAGTCCCATTTCTTACAGAAAACATATTAGGGTGCTGCAATTCACCAACTTCCTTGACTTTGAACCTCTTGGTTTCTTAACATGTCTTCAATGTATCGCTTAAAAGAAGGGATTGTGTAAAAGCAGCTACATTTATACACTGTATTAGATAAACTGTAGTAATTATTGTGAATTTTCTCTTATGAATGTATATTTTTCCCCAAACACATTGTTTAAAAACCTGTGCAGACTAATTAGTTCTGAAGAAGGGTCACTGGAGCCAAAATGTTAACTCTGATTTCTCTTCACAGAATCTGCCAGACCTGCTGAGCTTTTCAAGCAATTTCTGTTTTTAATGCAGGCTTTTTATTAGCTGAACCGTTTTGTGAAATTTAAGTTGGAATAATATCTCGAGTTTTTTTCCTGAATGATGTGTTATATCAGGAAGTCTTATACATGTATAATTTGTTTTTAAAATTAGTCTCCTACTTACTTTTAGTATGAAATAGAGTGCAGTTGCTTACAGTCTCTGGATTGCTGGCACAGAGCTCAGTGAGGGCTGTTGTTGATAGTCCTGATTTCATAAACTGGTAATGAAAGCAGGCCTGGACTGTACCATACCTGGGTTGGTGTGCATTATAACAATACTGTTTGTAGAAATTATAAGAGTCACTCAGGATTTATTCAATAGCTTTGTGTTATGCAATCAGCAATTGTGACAACATTGTTCCCTATTCTCCTATTTTATTTCCACTAATTTGCTTCCTCCTCCTTCTCTTTAAAAGATACATTTGAAAATCAACAACAAAATACTGTGTTTTCAACCACTAAATAGCCAACTTATATGGTGTGCTAAATGTTCAGTTTCCATCATACAGGATGATACAAATATGTTGGCCAGGAATACACATTAGCAATATTTAGAACATACCATAAGCTATTAGAAACTTGTTTTCAATTTTCAGTGCAATTTCTAAGCAGTCCACTCATCATATGTTGAATTTGCACAGCACAGCACTATAGGTTGGAAGGCCCCATACCCACTTAAATGTTAGCTTGCTTGCAGTCCACTTCTAGGTCACCCACTGCTGCCTCACTCCAGCCTTCACTGACCTGAGTCCCAATTAGTCTCCCTTCTGCACTAGCTGTAGATGGCTACAACTCAAGCAGAAGCTCAATCCCAGTTATGATTCACCAGTCATTCTGCACAGTGCACAGCCAGTCAGCTTTGTTGAAATTGGACACAAGATTCTGTTATTTACGTAAGTAATTTAACTTGGAAATTGGAAGTACCATGTCGATGTTTGCAAACAATGCTAAATTGGGATTATAATAAATACGAAGAGATTGCCACAAAATAAAAGAGGACTTTAACATTCTTGGTGTTGGACATGAAAATGATAAATTTGTTTTAATATGGATAAATGCGATGAGGCATTTTCAAAAGCAATATAAGGGGACCACCTCCTGGAAAAATCAAAGTTTAATTAAGGAAGCAGCATGAAAAGATTTTGGAATTTAAAGATTCGTTAAATTTGAATCAGGAAATCGCTAAAGGTAATAATTAATAAAGCCATTGCAAACTCAGATAAGGCATTGAGGGTTCATTTCTAAAGGAATAGAATTCAAAAGCAAGAAAATCAAGTTAAACTTGCATTATGCCTTAATTCTTCAACCAATCTAAGAATACAAAGCACAGTTCGTGTCCATGCGCAAGGATTGTCCAGAAATTTGGGCTTTGGGTCAAAATCCTGACATTTGGCTTAAATTGGGGTCCCAGCACCGTACTGTTTAAGAAACCTCATCAGCCATAGGGAGGCTGTCTCCAGGAAGTGTGGGCTGTTCTCAATGTTGAGAAATGTCTGAAAATTCCAGTTGGCCTCTGATAATTGGTTTTAACTGGCCATTAATGTAGATAAATTGTCTACGTGCTTTGAAGGTCTAGGATCTTCTCTGGGCCAGTTGAACTAAATGGTGCTGACAAACTTTAACATAAATGCCTGCCACTTGAATGTACTGGCACCAGGATTGCCATGATACATTGATCAGCAAAAGTTGAATTTCTGGGGTTCACCTCTCAAGAAGATAGACCAAGATGGGACCAGGTAGAGGTCTGTTGAATTTTGAAGAGTTTTAAACATAATCTTTTGTCCAAGGAAATAGCCATTGCAGATCCACAAAAAGTTCAAGAAGGCAGCAAGTAGAAGTCCATTTCTTAGGATAAGAAGAAGGGGCAAGTATTACAGAATTCATCCCAGAATGAGGTCACCTCATGCTTTCTATAAACAACAAAATGATAGATTTATTATGAAAACAGGGTTGCTGTAAAAAATATAAAACTGATTAATATGCTGATTTACCCTTCAATATAACCCCTCTTATTAATTAGTAGAACAAGATTTTCCATGTATTTCCTGCACTTGTTTTTCTTGAGTTTGGAAAATGTTGTCTAAGAAGCTTTTGTGAATTTTAAATGTGCATCTTGTAGGTAGTAATAGCAATGTGCACTGAGTGTCAATGCTGGAGGGAATGAAGGCACCAATTAAAGGGAAAAAGTTACTTTCCCTTTTAGAGAAAAGTTCTGAAAACAGAAAAACCTTCGGCCAGTAGTGGAAGGAAAAAACTCTCAATTGTGACTAAACTGATGGATGGTGCCATCAACAGTGTTATCAAGCAGTTTTTACATGGCAACAAGCTGTTCACTAATGGTTAGTCAAAACCATTGGATTTTGTCAAAACTACTCAACCCTGGACATGGGCAAACAAACTGAATTCTAGAGGCAAGGTGAGAATAATAGCAGTTGATCTCATGGCTGCATTTGACCAGGAATGACATTATGGTTCTCTGGCAGAAATGAGAATCGGGATTTGGGGGACGCGGGATCTCTCTGTTGGTTGGAATGATACCTGGCATGATGGAAGATGGTTGTAATTGTTGGAGGTCAGTTGTCTCAGCTCTAGAACATCTCTGCAGGAGTTCCTCAGGGCAGTGTGCTGGGCATAACCACCTTCAACTGTTTGACCAAACAGCTTCCCTCCATCACGAGGTCAGAAGCGGGGCATGTTTGGCAACAATTGTACAATGTTCAGCACCAATCATGACTCCTCAGATACTGAAGCATTCCAAGTCCAGAAGCAGAAAGATATGGAAAATATCCAGATTTGGACTAACAAGTGGCATGTGACATTAGTCCAATACAAGTGCCATGTAATGGCTGCTGCCAACGATAAAGAATCTAATCATTACCTCTTGATGTGCAATGGCGTTACCATCACTGAATCCCCCACTATCAATCTACTGAGGGTTACCATTGACCAGAAGCTGAACTGAACTAGCCATACAAATACTGTTACTAGGATCTTGCAGTGAGTAACTTGTCTCTTGATTCCCCGGAACCTGTCCACCATCTACAAGACACAAGTGAGAAGTGTGATGGAAAACTCCTCACGTGCCTAGTTGGGTTCAGCTCCAACAAGACTAATGAAGTTTGTTTGGCACCATATGCACAAACATTCACTCCCACCCCAGAAACAACACTCAGTAGCAGCAGAGTGTACTATCTACATGATGCGCAGTGAAAATTCACAAAGGCTCTTTAGACAGCATCTACCAAACCCAAGACTGCTACCATGAAAAATAAGTGAAGCAGATACTTGGAAACCCATATCCTATTAATTGATAAGAGAAAATGAAATTTGTAGGGAGTAATTGATTACTGGTTGTAATTTTCTTTCTTGTCTTCTTCTTTAAAACATTGTTAGCTCTTACAGAGTTCAAATTCCATGGTTAATAAAAGCACATTAATTACTCACTCAAGTGGCCAAACTTGATTTGTAAATTTGCTAACAAGTTGTTTTGGGTAAATTACCACTAGCTACCTTTTAGTTTGGCTACTTATTAGGACATCTCACAATCAAATACTGGAACAACTATTTAACTTTATTGCATGTAGCAACTAAAATAAGGCCCTCAAGCAAGTTAAATCTCACAACTCAGCTTGGCTATTATCCAATTAATGGTGGAAATTAGCTATGATTCCAACCAACAGTGTCTGTCTCTATATGGCCAGGCTTCGATCCTTGTACAGTGTTGTTCTCCCAAGTTCTAACCCGGAGAAATCCTGGAGTTGAATTCTTATACGATTTGTGATGTGACGTTATTGATGATCCTTTAGATTCTTTCAACCACAATATTGTTAGGAAGGAGAGGTCGAACCCCTCTGATAATCAAAATCAAAACACAAGCCCACAATCTGTTACAGCGGGAGTATAGGTCCCCTTCTAATAATTAAACCTGAAGCACCCAGAGAAGCTCGCCTCGCCTAATCTTTGAGCCCCAAATTGTTATGGAGAAGTGGAGGTTAATTGAAAGAAAATCCCTGCCATTCACTTTATAAGTAACAATTTATTTATTTAACCCGAACAGTGAACAAATTAACAGAATTACTAACAAACCAGACAATTCCCCCTTAACAACAAGGTGCAGAGCTGGATGAACACGGCAGGCCAAGCAGCATCATAGGAGCAGAAAGGCTGACGTTTCGGGCCTAGATCCTTCTTCAGAGAAAAAAAAATTCCCCTTTAACTATTAATTACTCCCTAACTGAACTAAATTCTATTGATATGCTGTTTTAATAAACACAAGTTCAACTTGTATAACCCAAGTAAAAAGAAAAAAATTAAAACTTAGTCTCTCAAGTCTACACGCCTTTCCTCTGCTATGCTGAAGTCATAAATGCCTTTCTTCCACTGATCTGGCTGTAAGGGATGTTTTCTCTGTGAGGACTCTTAGCTAGAAGTGCAGTGGTACCTTTTGTGGATAGACGGTGCTTTCTTAGAGAGCTTAGCGATTTCTTGTGAGAGCTAAATGCTTATTTCTCAAATGGCGATTTGCTCTCAGACCAATTTTCAAAAATCCTCACCTTACATACCTCGGATGACATATCAATTTTCTTACAATAGCGTTGATCCGAAGTTATGAAAACCATCAGATTTAAATTTAATTGGCTTTTAATCGCTATGTGCTTGGCTGATTCCAGCTAGTTGCCAAAACATGAAAACAAGCCTAAGGTCTTCAATCACACAGCCAATTGATACATGTTTCAATTTCAGAACTACCTGTACACCTTCAGATAAATACAGACACATTTTTGCTGTGTAAATCTCTGAGCTTAGAAAAGCATTTTACCTCCTAAAGGAACCACGCACTCTTCTCCCTTTTTTTCCCACAAACAAATTCTAGCTTCCTGCCTTCCAATTCACAATTACTCTACACAACTTTGTAACAATATTGACTACTCCTCTGGAACCATTAAGTCTGCGGCTTGTTTTCTTATCAGAAGCAGCATCCTTCTTCCTTGTTACATTTGGAATTGACTCGTCTGTTTGAAGAATCAGCTTTTCTGTGATTAACTCCTTAAATTCTTCTGCGGGGCAATCAGTTGTCCTTGTGGCATTAGGTAGCCATTTATCAAGCAGTTGTTAAAACAGTTTTGCTCATGTAGCTCACCTCCTTTTCCCAGACATGGCTATTGCTTTAAGTTCCTGTACAAGTTTGTTCTTGTCCCTTAACAGTTTATTTCAGACAGAGTTATCGTTGCTTCTTTCAATGTATGAACAGTTGTTAAAGTTCTCAAGTTTACACTATCACAAAGTTCATTTTGCCATCTTATTTTACAAGCACTCCTGCATTTTTACATAGGTTTCTATATCATGATCAGGAAGCGTAACCCAGTTTATTTTTTCCCCCTACCTAACACTGAATTTGGCCTGGAGCATTGGAGGCTGAGGGCTGACCTTGTAGGGGTTTATAAAATAATGAAGAGCATGATAGGGTGAATAGCCACGGTCTTTTTCCCAGGGTAGGGGAGTCCAAAACTAGAGGGCATAGGTTTTTAAGGTGAGATGGGAAAGATTTAAAAGGGACCTGAGAAGCAACTTTTTCATACAGAGGGTGGTGCGTATATGGAACAAGCTGCCAGAGGACGTGGTAGAGGCTAGTACAGTGGCAATATTTAAAAGGCATCCAGATGGGTACATGAATAGGAAGGGTTTGGGGGACATGGACCAAATGCTGGGAAATGGGACGAGATCAGGTTAGGGCAACTGGTTGGCACAGGCAAGTTGGACCGAAGGATCTGTTTCTGTACTATGTAATTCTGTGACTGTTATCAATTGTAGAATCCCTGTTGCTGCCTAACAGAATGAATTGCAACAAAACACTACTTCTTGTTTACCGACAGGTGATAGCATTGAAATGTCATGTATTGAGATGCAGATGTCTCGCAGCAAGATAAATTAGATGGAAGGGGTTTCTATAATATCCACATATTACATCCAATTGACCTTTGATCAATGCAGATCAACTGCTGGCCATAACAGTCAAATCCTGAAACTGGGACAGAGTTCATTTTGAGTAAATTATCTTCTCAGAGTGATAGCTGATCATACTGTCTGAAGCATGTGAGCATACTTTCCTCTGTTTACTTTAGTGATTACGTTGGCACATCTGGAAAAAGCTTTATTCCATTGAGTATTTCTGCCATTAGTTTTTGCTGCATGTGGAATTAATTATATGTTTTGTATCAATAAGGAGTAAGAGTAAATAGGAAAATTCAAAAATATTTTAATGTGTATTTCATGGGTAAGTACTGATTGCTTCATTTGTTTGCTGTCTCACAGTACATTCTTATTCAAATCAGTTAATAGGTTCACAGATGTTATTTGAAATATATAACTAAGTGTTCTCATTTTCTAGCAGGTTCAGGTTCCTTGCAAGGACCGCAGACGCCTCAGTCCACCAGCAGCTCATTGGCAGAAAGTGGAGATTTGAAACCACCAACCCCTGTCTCAACACCACTTGGACAAATGACACCTATTCAGGGTAACAGGTATGAGAAAGCATTACATCAAAACTTTTACTGTGCATATTACCTAATAGGAAATTGATCACTTTGCCAAAATAGAAAAAGTGGAACACTTATTATAAGCATTAAACCGATCTTTGGAGATGTGATTACAAACAAATCATTGATTTGAGCTGCTAATACCATGAGCTAGAAGCCTTTCAGTAAGTTGTTTTGTTTTATTTGTTCATAACATCTGGGCATTGCCGTCAAGACCAGAATTTATTTTCCATCCCTAATGGTCCTGAGGTGGTTGTAAGCCAACCAATTTGAGCAACTTCAATGTTATTAGGAGGGAGTTTCAGGATTTTGACCTAGTGACAGTGAGGGATCAGTGATCTATTTCCAAGCCAAGATGGTGTGTGCTTTGGAGGAGAACATGTAACTGATGGTAACATGTATCTACTGTCGAAGGAGGCTTTGGTGAGTTGCTTCATTGTATCTCATTAGTAATATACACTGTAACCACTTGGAGTGAATAATATGGTGGCTCAGTGGTTAGCAGTGCTGCTTCTCAGCGCCAGAGACCATGGCTGGATTCCACCCTCAGGCGACTGTCTGTGTGGAGTTTGCACATTCTCTGTGTCTGCATGGGTTCCCTCCAGGTTCTCTGGTTTCTTCCGATGTGCAGGTTAGGTGGATTGGCCATGCTAAATTGTCCATAGTGTCCAGGAATGTGCAGGCTGGTAGTTTAGCCATGGGAAATGCAGGGTTACAGGGTTAGGGTTAGGGTTAGAGTTGTGGGTGGGTCACAGTGGGATGCTCTTTAGAGGGTTGATGTGAACTGGATGGGCCTAATGGCCTGCTGTCATGTTGTAGGAATTCTGTAATTGAAAGTGTGAATATTGAAAGCATTGAGTGGGGTGGCAGTTAACTGGAATACAGAAAAACAAAAACAGATATTGCTGGAAACACACAGCAGGTCTGGCTGCATCTGTGGAGAGAAATCAGAGTTAACATTTCAGATCCAGTGACCCTTACTTAAAACAAATTGTTTTGTTTGGTCAGCTGGAATGCTTTGTTTTAGATGATATGGAGCCTTCGAGTGTTGTGAGACTGCACTCATCGAGGGAAGTGGATTCATCGCAGACCTGACTTGAGTGTTGTGGATTTTGCAACAGTGCTGGGGAACCAGGAGGTGCTTAGATTCTTTCTTGAAAATTGCCATTGCCTGTCATGAAGCTATTGATGAAGATCCATTTGCACATTAATGAGTTTGCTCATTGCTTTTTTTTAAGCTGAATAGTCCACAAACAACTGTCCATCATAATCATAGAATCCCTGCAGTCCAGAAAGAGGCCATTTGGTGCCACAATTAGTAACTACATGGCCCACCGTCAGAACATTTAAATTCACCATTTAAATAATACTCTGTTCTGATTAAGAGTCATTAGACTCAAAACATTAACTCTGCTTACTCCCCACAGATACAACCAATGTTAAAGGCAAGGTGAGAGAGAACTGCTTAGCCCTTTCTTCTCTTCCTTTCTCTGTACAATTGGAGGTGTGACTGACAGGATGATACCAATTAACTGCAATGGCACATAGACAAAGTGGCAGATTAGATGGACAGGTGGCAGATGGAATTAATACAGATAAATATGAGGTGATGAATTTTGACAGAAGCAATGGGGACAGACAGATTAAAAGGCCGTTTTAAGGAAAGAACAGAGACAAAGAAAGCTGGCAAGTTCTTATGCAGAGATCTTTGAAGGTGTTTGAAAATAGTAAGAACAGCGAGTAAAGCATGTGAGATTTTGCACTTCCTAACTATAGAAGCATTGAGTATAAAAACATAAAATTTATCCTGAAACACTGTGGAGCTTTGCTTAGTACAGCTAGAGTATTGCATCCCGTTTTGCTGCACTAGAAGGATTTCAAGGCCCTTGAGTCAATGCAAAGGAGATATACCAGAATGGGTCCAGGGATGAGGCATTTTAGCCACAAGGCTAAGTTTTAAAAAAGCTGGTGGGGTCATTTCAATTATTCTTCTTGGAGCAATGGAGATTTGTGGGAGTTAAAATGAAATGAAGAACTGCAGGTGCTAGAAATCTGAAACAAAAACAAAATTCTGGAGAAACTCGGGACTTTTAGCAGCAGTTATGGATAGAAAACAGAGTTAATGTCCAATGTATCTCAGTCTCTGAGCTCCATCCCTACCTATCCGCTCACTCTTTTACTCCATTTTCATCATCAAGATAAATATCACTTTTTCCTAGATACTGTCTGTTCTGAAAAAGGGTGACTGGACTTGAAACATGAATTCTGTTTTTACAACCAGGTGAAGAAAGGTGATTATGCCCCCTCCTGGTTAGTTATAACAAATTTTTTTGGAACACAGCTACCAGACTTCAATTCAACTTAACAAAAAGCAGACCAAAAGTGGAGAGCCAATTCCAAGATTTACTTGAGTGACTGTAGCATTTTATTATTAAAAGAAAACACATCAAACATAAGCAGTTTATCATAGGTAGGCTTAAAAAAGAAGAGTGGGATGAGGAGGCTGTCTATACAGTCAGTAAGGTACAGATAGTTTAAAGGTTATAGATTCCTGGAGTTGCAAGAATGAAATCAGAGTCCCAACTATTCCACTGTTGTCCTTTTTCCTCGGGAGTGGTGAAACTTCCAGCAACAAAAATAGAAGTTGCTGAAAAGCTCAGCAGGTCTGGCAGCATCTGTGAAGAAAAAAATCAGAGTTAACGTTTTGGATCCAGTGAGCCTTCTGCAGAACTTATGGTAGCTGGGAAAATGTCAGTTTATATGCAGAAAGTAGGGAGGTGGGTGGGGTAGGGAGTAACTGATAGGATAGAGCCCGAAGAGAGAGAAGAGCAGTTGGATAGACAAAGGAGTTGATAACGATCAGGCTGAATAGTTGTTAACGGGGACTTTTAGTGACTAACAATAGGTAGTGCGTAGTGGCAGGCTATGTGATAACAAGGCCTGGTGTGTAGGGTAGGGAGCTAGACATGGAGGGATTTAGGCCCTAAAATTATTGAACTTAATATTGAGTCGAGGAACCTTGCAGGTCTTGCAGGAACCTTGATTTCTCAGTGAGCAGTGGTTTTTTCCAAATTTCCTTTTCACCAGGCATTGAATTTTGGCGTTGAGGGAGAGACAGACAGGAAGAGTGACCTTCATCCTTGTTCATAAATGCATTTCCTCGCCTGTTCTGCTCAGAAGCAGCTGTTTATGAAGATCCATTTGCACGTTAATGAGTTTGCTCATCGCTTTTTTTTAAGCTGAATAATCCACAAGCAACTGTCCATCTTAATCATAGAATCCCTGTAGTCTAGAAAGAGGCCATTTGGCGCCACAATTAGTAACGACATGGCCCAGTGTCAGAACATTTAAATTCACCATTAAATAATACTCTGTTCTGATGAAGACTCATTAGACTCACAACATTAACTCTGTTTACTCCCCACAGATACTGCCAAACCTGCTCAGTTTCACGAGCAATTTCTATTTTTTGTTTCAGATCTCCAGCATCAGCAGCTTTAAGAATCCTACATGTTTCAATTAGATTACCCCACATTCTTCTAAACTCCAGTGAATAGAATCCCAAACTACTTAGCCTTTGCTCAGAAGACAATGTGTCCATACCACGGATCATTCTAGTGAACTTTCTCTAAACTGCCTCCGGTGAAATTATATCACTCCTTAAAGAAGGGGACCAAAACTGTTCTCAGTACTCCCAATGTAGTTTCACCATCACTTTGTGCAATTACAGCAAAACCTCCCTACTCTTATACTCTAACCCTCTTGAAATAACAGCCAACATTCCATTAGCTTTCTTGATTATCTGCTGCACCTGTGTGCTAGTTTTCTGTTTCATGCGCAAGCACCCCCAAGTTCCTTTGTGTTGTAGTTCTCTGCAGTTTTTCTCCATTTAAAAAATTATGTTTTTATTCTACCTTCCTGAAATAACTGCACACAGGTCAGTATCCCGTCACCAAGTGACCCTTTGTTTACTTGTGCACAGTATATTAGCTGTGGCCAGCCAGCTCAGAGTCAGTCCCTGAAGTGAGGAGATTCTGAATCCCCTATTTATATCGGTCAGCTAGTATTCCCTGATTGGCCAAGGTTAACAACCCTAATCAAGAATCTCATAGTTCCAATCACTACATTTCCAAAATGAACAGCTTCAAATTATATCAGAGATAGTAGGAACTGCAGATGCTGGAAAATCTGAGACAACAAGGTGCAGAGCTGGATGAACACAGCAGGCCAAGCAGCATCATAGGAGTAGTAAGGCTGACGTTTTGGGCCTAGACCCTTCATCAGAAAATCTGCTACCACTCCTGTTTTCTTTCTCCTGCCAATTCAGTAGGAAAAACCAGTAGATGGGGAAGTGATTGTCTAAGTCAAGTATGACTGTCAAATTTGATTGAGTAGATTAGGTCATGGTTCTCCAATTGTGACTCAAGTGTTAGTGAGGAAGGTTGTGTACAGTTGTTTGGTCTGGAAATTGAAGAGTTTTATGGACTAAATAAGGAATTGCCTGTAATGGTCACAAGTTATGGTAATCTGAATTGCACTGGCTGATATGGTATTCGAAGTAGACTTAGTTGTAAGTTTCAAAATACAATAAACTTGAAAAGAAGCAACTTGTAGCAGTATGGGGAAAGGGCAAAAGATTGAGACTAATTGGATAACTCTTTCAAAGGCTTGGCACAGGCACAATGTGTTGAATGTTATACTGCTCTATAATATTTTATGATTCTAATTGAGAATTCAATGAAAAATTATCACCATTTCAGATTATCACTGCAAGTGCAGAGGAAGGTTGGGCAAATTTCTTGACATAGGGAATGCTATGCCACTGGTGAATCGTATTCGTTTGTACAACAACATAGAAGCAGAGTTAATTGGCAAAACGGAGATCAGAGTGATATTTAATTCTTTTTCAGTATAGTTGAGGAAAATAAATTAATCCAGTGAGACCTGAATTTACTGATTCTGGAGCACTTTATCCACCAACACTG